ATCATGAAATAGAACATTGATAAGTTAGATTTCATCAAAACTGAAAATTTTTACTCTTCAAGAAACATCATTAAGTTAAAGAAAATGCTAGCCACAGTGTTTTAGAAAGTACAGGTATTTGCAAAGCACAGCTGGCAAAGACCTTATATCCAGAATACATGAGACTCCTTCAACCTAATAATAAAACAGCTGGGGGCCGGCTGAGTGGCCCAGTTGGTTAAGAGCTCACTCAAGAGTGGGAGCTCTGAGCAACAGCATCACTGGTTTGATTCCGAGCTGAGCTGCCGCTGAGCTGCCAACAGGTGGCAGGATGGCTCAGCTAACAAATAAAAAATAAAATAAATAAATAAATAAAATAGCGGGGAAAGGGCACATTACAAAAGATATACAAATGGCCAATATGCTCACACACACACACACACACAAAAAAAAAAACAAAAACACTGAACATTATTTGTCATCAGGGAAATACAAATAAAACCACAATGAAAACCACTACATGCCCACAAAAATGGTTCAGACAAAGAAGGCTGACCTCACAAATGTTGGTGAGGGTGTGGAACAACTGAAACTCATACCCTGTTGGTGGGAATGTGATAGTACAATCACTTTGGCTGTTTTCTATAAAGCTCAACTATTTTAATCCTATAAATTGATCTAACAATTCCACCCCTAGGTGCAGCCACGGGCCACATAACGACGTTTTGGTTAACAACAGACCGCATATATGACAGTGATCCCATAAGATTATAATGGAGCTGAAAAATTCCTATTGCCTAGTGACATCATAGCGATCTTAATGCCCTAGTGCAATTCATTACATACGTGTTTGTGGTGACGCTGGTGTAAACAACCCTACTGCACTGCCAGTCGTATGAAAGTATAGCATGCTCGATTATGTACAGTGCATAAGACTTGGTAATGATAATAAATGACTATGTCACTGGTTTATGTATGTACTATACTATACTTTTAATTGTTAGAGTGTACGCTTTTACTTATATTAAAAAATGTGCTGTTAAACAGTATGCCGTGTTTTGCCAGCAGCAGCCTCATACATCTTGTGTTTACCACGTCTCTTGATTGCATCATTTCCTCTTGTGCTTGCTTTAATCTTGTGTTGTTTTGTGTAGTAACATGTTCTGTAGGCTTGTAGCCTAGGAGCAAAAAGCTAACCATATAGTCTAGGTGTGTAGTAGGCTAGACCATCTAGGTTTGTGAGAGTGCAGTCTATAATGCTTGCACAACGACGAACTTGTCTAATGACGCCTTTCTCAAAATGTAGCCTTGTTGTTAAGCAGTACATGACTGTATTTATCCAAGAGAAATAAAAACACGTGTCCGCAATAAGACTTGGACAGAAATGTTCATAGCAGCTTTTTCCCCCACCCCCATACTGGTCTTAAATGGGAAACAACTCAACTGTCTATTGAGCTGTAAAAGAATAAACTGTGACACAGCCATTAAATGGAATACTACTCAGCCATTAAAAAGGAACANCCTTTGTGTATTTACAGATGGGAAGCCTGTCCACCTGCTCTTGTCTTTGAAATACCCACAACTACAGCTGGCGCACCCCATGCAACTACCACAATCCCTCCAACATTTGGGGGAAATTCACCTTTAGACAACCCTAAAACAAAAGGGAGAAAAAATAGACATGGAACAGGCAACTTGCCTTCCACTCTCCTACCAAATGTGTCCATTCCCAATGTCCGAATGAGTGAATGGTTGAATGATGAAATATCTTTAAGAAGAAACTAAGCAGAAATAGATATATAGCAAACAGCCCCCTAAACCTACCGTGTAAACCTGATATTTGTGAAGTCTGTAAAATTGCCCAATATGTGTTTTTAATTGAACTGCCTAATTGGCCTAAGGTTCCATGATGCGGCCTCTGAAAGTCTGTCTTTGGAAATTCTAGAAGGATCTCTAGCTACATGCAAAGGAAGTGTCCCACGTGGAAAGTTACGGACTTGAGCCTCCCTACTTGTTTGTTCAAGGGCACCTGGATTCTGATCTAAACATCAGCCCCAAATCAACAGTAAAGTTTAGTTTCATTTCATCTTGGGCCAAGTGCTCAGCACCAGTTTCTGGAGTCTGGGGCTCATGGTTTAAAATGCCAGTTAGAATCAGTGTGAGCTGGTGCTGGGTTGAGAGAATTACTACGCCCCATTGAGCTGCCCCAGGAGAGAGAGGAAAAGGGTGGGCTGTGTTGAGATAAGCTGCTCATGAAGTCAAAGTGGCCATAACCCTTGGAAAGATGGCTGACTCCTGCTGCTTTCTCAGAGGTGCCATCCAAATATCTAAGCTGTGGGCAGGCAGATTTAGACCAGAGATGGAGGGAGATGGAGAACAGTAACTTCTACAAGATCTGAAACTTCCAGGCACTCTGATCCTTGTAGTCCAGAGGATCCATGGGGTTGTAGGCGAATTTCCAGGTGCCTGTGGGGTCTTTGAATTCCAAGCTGTCCACAGGGCTGTAGGCGCTGTAGCTCTGGCCTGACAGGGAGGTGGGGGACTGGGCCAGGGAGGGTCCCACAGAAGGGCCTGAAAGGGGGCTGAGAGCCGGGCCCCCCAACTGGGGCACCATGGGAGAAAGGTAGGGGTCCAGACCACTGAAGTAGGAGCTGGGAGACCCATAGGCTGAGGGGGAAGAGCAGAAAGCAGAGGCTGGGGCGTAGGTCATGGCATAGGGTGCTGAAGTCAGAGAAGGCCCTGAGGCCACTAACCCAGCCCGCTGGGCCTCAGGCAAAGGGGACTCTGAGGCCGGACTCCAAATGGACACAGTGGCCACTGCTGTGGTGGGAGAGCCTGAGGGGACAGGTAGAGGGGGGCTGTAGGAATCTGAGATGCCCAGGGGGTCTGGACAGACATCCGTGGAGGGTCTTGGGGATGTGCCTGCCTTCCTCTTGGCGGGACGAGCCTTGGCTTGTGCCCCTGGGGGCTGCTGCTGCTGTTTCTGCTGCTGCCGCTGCTGTCTACATTTAGCCCTACGGTTCTTGAACCAAACCTGAGGGGTAAGAGGGGAAAGCAGGTGGGTGAGTGGGAAGGAGGCCCAGGAGAGCCCCCATGGTGCCCAGGAATGATGCTGCTTATGGTGAGACACACTGGAGTCGCATCTCCACTTTGCAATCAAAGTGGGCACTGCATCCATCCATCCATCCATCCATTCATCCATTTATCCATCCATCCATTCATCCACTTATCCACTCATCCATCCATCTATCCATCTGCCCACCTGCCTGTCTGTCCACCCATCCATACATCTATCCATCCAAGCATTCGTACATACAATTGTACATACTTACATTCATATAAACACACATGTATCCATTCATCTAATCATTCACATACACATAAATACATTCAGCCATCTAATACATACATAAATCATATATAAATATATACATATAGTTGTACATATATATACATGCACACATTTAACCATCCAATCATGAGTACAAATATCCAATCATACAAACACATATATATATATATATATATAATACATTCATCCATTCAATCAGTTAATAAACATGCATTAACCATCTTCTACTGCTGACATTCTGCTTGAGAGAGACAGATTATAAATAAATAGCAACTGAATCACATAGTATTTTAGAAGGTGATCAATACTACGGAAGAACCAACTGAGCAGAAGTGGGGAGCAGTAGAGTTGGGAGGCATGGGGAAAGACTGCAACTTTAAATTCAACTGTTGGTGTAGGCCTCAATGACTGACAAGGTGACTAAATTGGTTGGTAAAGACTTGAACAAGGTGATGGGGAATAAACGTTCCAGGTAGAGAGAACAGAGAGTGCAAAGGTCCTGAGGCAGGAATGTGCTTGGCGGGCACATTAGAGGAAGAGCCGGGGGCCAGTTGGCTGGAGTGGAGCAAGAAGGGTAGGAGTGCTGAGATGAGGCCAGGGAAATAATGGGGATAAAGGATTATTCGGGCCCTTTATGACTGTGGCTGCTACTCTGTGGCCTCTTTCTCCTCCCATCACTCTGGGTCCCAGGAAGGGTCGGAACATCCCACCTGAACCCTGGACTCAGGCAGATTAATCTTTAGGGCCACCTCCTCGCGGGCGTACACATCCGGGTACTGGGTCTTGGCAAACAGGGCCTCCAGTTCCTCTAGCTGGCTCCGGGTGAAGGTGGTCCGCTCCCGTCGCTGCTTTCTAGGGGCACCTGGGTGGGGAACAGAAAATGAGACCCTCAAGTGACCTGGCTCTATTCTCTTCACCTGCTGGTGTGAGGCCCCGAGGGTGCATGGGATGCCAAGAAGCCCTTTCTGTGTGTCCATCCGCCCCGACCTTCAGGACCTTACTGTGCCTCCCTGGGAATGGGGTCCCTCTTTGCACATCATTTTGGGGCTCATGCCTCACCCCAAGGAGAACTGGTTTTAACCATGTAAGAAGGTGTGTGAATTTGTTTTTTGGTCCTTTTCTAAATTTCTTAGGCACTAAAACATGACATTGTGGATATTCAACCATTTCTAGCCTATAAAAGTGGCAGGTCCATAATGTTCAACCAACCATTTCTAGCCTATAAAAGTGGCAGGTCCATAATGTTCAACTTAATGAAAAAAACAAAACAAAACAGCTAAATAATAATGCCACCAAAAAAAAAAAAAAGAAAAAAAAGAAAAAACAACAGAGGGCTCACTTCTGTTAGAAATAAAGCATTGCTAACAGATAGAAATTCCTCTGGTTCCCCTTCCAGATTTCTTCCCCCTCCCTCACCCCAGAGGGAACCACTATCCTAAATTTCTATGAATGTCCGTATGCTTTCCCACATCCCTAAATGACCTAGTGTGTTGCATTTGTGTATGGCCCTGATGTCACCTGTGTAAGTGCCCATCTTCTTCCTGAGAGCGAGGGACCCCAGAGGCCCCCAACAGATGGGGGCCAGCCTGGGATGGCAGGGAGGACTGTACTCACTTGGATAGGACACAGCTTGGTGCATCAAATCCACACTGGGGCCACTCAGAGCCAAGGCGTTGACGGAATAGTGGGGCCCCGGGTTCATATATGCCATCATGATATTCCGCGACACTGGGGCCCAGGTCAGTGGACCTGCAAGAGAAGGGGGGAGGGGCTCAAACACTCCCTCCCAGTTACCGGGTGATGACAGGCAGGCTTAGGTTCAAATCTCGTCTCAGGCTCTTCTTAGGTATGGGACCTTAGGCAATTGCTCTCACCTCTCAGTTTCTCAGTGGCCCCACCTATAAAAAACAGCCCGCTGCTTAGGATCCTCAAAGCTTCACTGAGATGCTGTCTGTAAAGCAGAGCTGAGGCTGTAACGGACATCTTAAATAGAAGCTCTACTTCCTGCTCTGTTCTTTTTTTTTTTTTTTTTTTTTTTTTTTTTAGCTGAGCCATCCTGCTACCTGCTGGCAGCTCAGCGGCTGCTCAGCTCCGGCTGGACTCGAACCGCTGTTTGCTCTGTTCTTTAAAAAACCTGATCCGCCATTTCCCTCTCCAAAAATCTTTTCTTTCTATGACCTGGGAAAAGATGTTCAGCCTCACACAAAATCATGGAGAGTTGGGTGAGCAGCTGTCCCTGTTTGCCTGAGACAAGGGTGTCTAGAGATGTGGGGCTTTCGGGCCAAACCCGGACAAGTCCCAAACAAACTGGGCTGATGGCTCGCCCTAAAAGAAGGTCACATTAAAACGTCAGCAACGGGCTGGTCGAGTGGCGCGATGGTTAAGAACTGGCTTGGGATGCCAGAGGGCCCCGGTTCAGATCCCACATATGAGGGCCNGATTCCCTAGCTCTATTCCCCTCCCACAATTCCCCAATAAAATCTTAAAAAAAAAATAGGTTAAGATAAATATATAGCACAATGTCTTCAAAGTGCATCCATGTCATAGCAGGTGTCAGAGCTTCATTTCTTTTTGTGGCTGAATAATATTCCATTGTCTGGATGGACAACATTTTGTTTATACATCGTCAGACAGTAGGCATTTGGGTTGTTTCTATCTTTTGGCTATTGTGGTTAATGCTGCCATGAACATGAGTGTGCAAGTTTTTGTTTGAATACTTGTTTTCAATTCTTTGGGGGTATATACTTAGATGTGGAATTTCTAGGTCCCTATGTAGTTCCAGAACTTTTTTGTCGCCCCCAAATAGAAACGCTGTATCCATTAGTAGTCACCTCCCATTTCTCTTCCAGCCAGCCCCTGGCAACCACTAATCTACTTTCCATCTCTATGGATTTGCTAATTCTGAACATGTCATATAAATAGAATCATACAATATGTGGCCTTTTTGTGTCTGGTTTCTTCTGTGAATGTACTTAACCTAGAATTCAGTGATTGAGAGGAAGAGAAACAGGGAAAGATGACTCAGAGTTGGAGAAACAGGAAGTCAGAGGCAAAGGAAATAAGAAGAAAGAGAAAGAAGGAAAATGACAAAAATCCAGCATAAAGAAACAGGGACCTGGGAGTTTGAGAGACAGTCTGGAGGAAGAGAGATAGAGAAAAGAAACAGCGGGAAACTGAAAGTGACCCAGGGACAGAGATGGAGGCAGAAGGGACAGGTGCAGGATGAAACTGCAGAGGGTTGGAGGCTGATGGGGAGGGCTTTTATCCTCACGTGGGCTGCTGAGGCAGGAAGTATAATCACCACCCCCTTGCAGAGAGGGAGACTGGGAGACCCAGTGAGATCACATGGGTGGAAGCTGGCGGTCCGGAGCCCATATCCCTGCTGAAATGGTTTTAGGAAGATATCAAGAAAAAGATGGTGACCAGACAGAGGCCCATGCCCCCAGAGACAGAGGTGAGAGGAGAGGGAAGGGCCAGAGCAATTCCTGTTTCTACTTTTCCGGTCCTTTCGAGGGAAAAAACAAAAAACAAAAGCAAAGCAAAAAAAAAAACACCCAGGCTTTAAGCAGGATTCAACATTTTAATCATTTTCACTCTGAAGGGGGCCAGGTTAAGGGACCCAGAGTTCCAGGGAATGGACAAGGGGAGGACAGAGGGCCTGACACAGAATGAGGGAGGCCCCTGGCCCTTTCCTTCTGTCCCCACTTCCCTTGTCACTCTTCCTGGCTTTGGGAAGTAGACCCTTTGACATCCCAATGGACAGCTGGAGAACCAGAGTTCAGGAGGCTGGTCCAGGAGGAGGAACCTGGAACCTCCCAAACAGTTTCGATTCTCGGAAGACCCCAGGATAGTGGTCTCTTGAAGTTGGACTGGGTCCTCTGGCCTGTATGACCTTCCACCTTCCTTCAAACCCTCCCCAGACCCCCTTGTCAAGCTGCCTTTGAATTGTTTGCACAACACATGCCCTCCTCTGTGAATGGAGAACTGCGTGGGGCGGGGAGAGGGTCTTGTTTACACCTGAGGTCCCAGCCTTTAGCACAGAGTGTGGGAATGTCTGCAAAATTAGTCACTGACACTGCATTCTGGTCTCGGATCCAGAGCCCGTCATCTCCTCCCTGTTTCTCCCTTGTGAATTTTGTTTGGCTCTCCCATCCTGCACCCCAACATATGCCATCCTCCTCTGTCTATCCTTTGTCTCACACTGGACTCTGAGTCACTCCTGGGTCTAATGTCACAGAGCCCAGCATGACTAAGGCCCACAAGAGATGACCAAGTGGTGTGTTCAGTAAATCCTCTCTGTGGGTTCTAATGATCACAGTGTGCCCCTCGGGGGTCTAGACAGTGGAAACCTCTCTTGGCCTGAACCAAAAAAAATCATCTGATGCCTCCCAGCCTCTCTTCACACTATGCCTTCCTCCTGACATGCCTTCCTGTGCTGGAGGCCTGGAGTCAGCTTGTAGCAGCTCATGAGCACAGATAGCATGCGTCTCTTCCCAATGCCAAGTTTGGTGACTTCAGACAGATGCCTTGCACTCAGCCATAGTAGTATTTACACCCTGGGAATTGGCAAACGCTACAAATCAAGGCTCACCCTCTTGCTGGAGAGCCAGTCGCTAACCACCTACCAGCCTACCACCACCTTCCCACCCCACTTTCTTTCCCCACTGCCTCCCCTAGTCAGAAATGAAAGAAGTCAGGCTAAGAAGGCAAGCCCAAAGCACCAAACTTCCAAGAGTGTCGAAATGCCTGAACCCATCCTAAAATCCTCACAGTGCATGTCTCTGTCACTGTGGATCAAACTATATTGAAAGAAATACGATGCTGCCCCAGGAGAATGTCCTCAGGTCAAGCATGTTGTCCAACCCCATCATCAAAACTGAAAACAAAAAATCTAAAAGAGGGATTGTCTATTTGAAATGTGGGCCTGCCTACAAATCCATTTCTCTCCGCACCCCCCCCCCCCC